GTTTAGTCTTGCACTGGGGTGGGAGGCTCTTTTGGGACAAGGGCTTCAAATATTAGTTTGATATAAACATACATCACTGCAAACGTATCTTCTCATAAACCTCTATATCTGCTATAATGGCCAGCTGGCCTCTCTTTTAATCTTACTGATAAAAAATGTATGTATTTATGTTTTCTGCTTATCCTTCTAAAAATAAGGTTATTCCAAACAAAGCCAAGGACATTTTTCTGTACATGCTCTGTATAAGCAAGGTTTAGGAGGAAGTATATGTGTGTATATTTATATATGTGTGTGTCCATTTATGTTTATGCATGTGTGTGTGTGTGTGTGTGTGTGTGTGTGTGTGTGTACTGTGAAATCAAACCCACATGAAGCTGTTGATAGTATGATAGAAACTCATCTTGGGAAAGAAAGTCCATCTTCTTTTCTCAGAATTCCAGAGTTCCTTCTGTCTTCTTAGCATTTGATGTCATTTCACACTCTGCTATTAAAAGCAACACCCACTATATATGCATCTTTTTAAAAGGTGTTTCAAATGACCTAGTTCTCCCTTTCCAAACTTGGTACCCATTAAGTAGATTATATCATTCCATGTATATATACAAACCTAGGAAACAAAATAGTTGAAATATCCCATCCTTGCTGCACCCAAATGCCAGAATATGTGTCCTTTTGTCAAGCCGTCAGCAAGATCACTTACATTTCTGATGCTGGTCTAAGCATCTGGTCTGGGATATCCACATGACAGTGTAATTGGAAAAAGAAATGAATGTTTGCCTTTGGTTTCATTTTATTGCTTCTCAGAAGAAAGCTCCCCATAATAATTTTCTGGTCCAGTTCTCTACTCTCCAGCCGTTGGTAAGGTGCTGCAGAAAGCAGGGTGAGGAGGACTGGTCTATCTAATTTGACATACAATGTTCTTATTGTAGGATAGCTGGAAAGGGCCACAGCATGAAATCCTTTTACTTAAATACCCAAATTTGACTTTTATAAAATGGTTAGAAATTGATTAATCTATAAAGGATGAAATCCCCGACCCACCCATGATATCTGAGAAAACATAAAACAAAAACCAAAGAACAAAAACTTTAGCCCAGATGTTTTGAATGGGAACACAGAAGCTGAGGTGAACTTCATTGAGAGCCATTGCTCAAGTCACCGTGTGCACACAGCCCCTAGGTCAGGAGCCTGTGGTCTAGATAATGTGCGGTCTCCATCGGGAAACCGGAGGCTTCTCATCTGCAAATCTCCCCTGAAGGCCCTGATACTATCACCATTCACTTTCTAGGGACCAGTCCACTCCCCATCCAGAAGGCCATCCTATCCCAGTCTGTTTATAGCATGAAGCTAGTTCTCCCGTCTGTAGCAATGCTGTGGTGCAGTTGGAAGAAAGACAATTGAAGCAGTGTTGTGACACCAGAGTGACTCTAACCAAGGATGAACCTTTAGGTCTGGTCACTCTTTAAGACTTCACACACACACACACACACACACACACACCTCGACTTACAGCCATCAGGAAATTTCCCTAGAGAGAAAGATACCACTAAGACCCCTTTCTCATCTTTTCAGATAGGACTCAGATGACATTTACAGAAAGCAGCCCCCTCCTGCCTCCTTGTCTTAAGTCTGCCCATAAGGTGCATTCAGAACCTACTCAATTTTCATGATTCCCATGACTCTTTCTACTGCAATGGTACCTAGTGAATACCTTAACCTGAAAACCCCAAATCAGAAACGCTCCAACCCTAAAACATTTGAGAGCTGTGGTGGTTTGAAAGAGAATGCCCCGCCCCCCATAGACACGTGTTTGAAATACTTGCTCCCCAGCTGATGGAACTGCTGGGGAGGCGTGACCTTGGTGGAGGAGGTTTATCACCTTGTATCATCAGGCTGTAGGGGCAGCAGGGGCAGGCCAGCTTAGGGGCTTCACAATCCTCCTGCTCTCCTCAGTACTCTGTGTCTCAGCTTACAGTTTCATACGTGAACTCTCAGCTGATGCTGCAGCCCTCTGCCACCTGCTTCCCCTCAAGCCGTCGTGTCCGGTAAATATGCACATGAATCACACGTCCATGTACCAACACACACATGAACACCACACACATTCACACACACATCGAAGCCTGAAAATAGAGCCAGGTGAGATTCTTTTAATAGCAGGGCTGTTCTGTGTCTTTAATTCCCTATCCACAGCCATAGAAGTCAGGCAGAAAGCCTAGAGTGATCATAAAGAGTTCCACACGGGGGCGGGGGGCACTTAGAGCAGGATAATAGAAATGGGGTAAGGACGAAGACCTGGTAGGTCTGAATCTAAATATAGCGTAAAGATGTTTGTAAGATCCACTGTATTCTGTATGGCAACATTATAAGTATCAACAAATCCAGTTCTCACACCCCTGACACAAAGGGATGGGATGAAATGGGGCAGCAGATTTTTGCTCTGTGCCAGATTTAGAGGCAAGTTTATGCGGACAGATGGATGGAATAAAATGAAAATGGGTTTTCAAGTGATATTACAAAGGAAGACACCACAATGGCCTTTTCCTGATTAGTCAGAAGATTAAAAGCTAAAGAACACAGATCTAAAGCAGCTTCTTGGCTTAGACGGAAAAATTTATCTCAGCTTAACAAATAAACAAAAAAAAAAGGGAACAGAAAGGCATTTTCTATTTTTAGCAGTTTTCAAATAGTTTGGTGTCACTCAAGGGGGGGGTGAGGATTACAAAGGAAGTAGGCTAGCCTGCAGCCCAGAGTGTCCATTCCGTAAGGATACAAGACACATTAACAGGTTGCAATAGGGAACATGTGCCTTTTACCATTCTATATTTCCACAGTAAAATAGGAAGGAAAACACACACATCACTGATGTAAAATCTTAGGGAAACCATTCCTATCTGTATCCACCTCCCTAGACAGCAGTAATAGTCTAGATACAGATGGACAACCCCAATTGGTTAGCATGGAACTTAAAAGGCAAAGGGTGGCCCATGGAGTGACCTCACTAGGCCAACCTGTCTTTCACGGTTATTAGACTCTGTGAGTTCATAGGCAGTGTTCTGTCTCACCTTAAAATTGCAGGATGCCCTATGCAATCATTCCTCTCCAATATTTTTGAGCATTTTAAGTCCTCATATACTTGATGCCTGTTGGCACATTTCGTTTTCTGACCTCTTAGGATGGGGAAGCTTCCAGAAAGAGATTGGGATGGAGGTGCGCTGTAAATTAGGTGTCTCAGAAAAATGTGAAGTAGCCTTAGGCAGGCTCTCATAATGAGGTGGAAGGCATTGGGGATGGGTTTGAATGGAAAGAGCTGAGCACAGACCCAGAAGATCGATTACAATGAAGGGAAAGGGTAGGGAAGTCGGAATTGGCAGAAGGCCATGACTCAGGGAGGATTGACTGGCTACCTTAGTCAGTAGGTACTCAGTATTCCACATTTGTAGACAATAAACCTCATCTGTACTGAAAATGGGAAGAGTTTTAATCTCAGCACAATATGGTATCAGGAATTATCAGTAATCTTCAGCTGATGGAAAGCAGGATGGGGAGTGTGCGTAGGTTAAACATATATCCTGTGACACATTATATAAAGTACTTGAGCATCCTGGGGTTTTGGTGTCTTTGTAGGGTCCTGGAAGCAAACCTTTGTGGGTGCTGAGGGATGACTCCACTTGACATTTGGGGGGGGGGCAATGAGTTAAAAACATACAGATGAGACAGCAACCTCAATCAAGTAACTAACTTCCCTAAGACTGTGAAACTCTCCGCAGCTCTTTCTGTCCCTTGCGCCGAGGATGCAGCTCACTGGGTCAGCACTTGCCTAGCATTCTTGAGTACCTGGGTTCAATGCCTGGTACTTCATGCCAAAACAAAGCTAACCTCTCTGAGTCTGCTCCCAATATCTGCCAGCTGCAGTTCCTTAAGCCATCAGCACCTCTACAAGGGCCACCTTTTGCCTTTTTAAGTCCATGCTAACTAATTGGGCTTGTCCATCTGTATCTAGACTATTACGCTGTCTAAGGAGGTGGATACAGGTAGGTACAGACTGATTTCTACACAACCAAAAATGTATTTCACGTGCCCTCATAGCACAGCCACACGCTAAATCCCCTGGGAGATTCACTAATAACCAGCTCGCGGAATATTGCCGTGCATTCTCTTTAAACCCTATAGAAGAGCTAGGTAGAACCACTGGGTACCCACAAATCCTTCTGTATAAATCACTATAAAAGAATCTGTTTCAACCATCTGCTTCTCTGGCTCTTTTTCTTTCCAGTATTTTTCTTTCATGTATTCCATACTAACAACAACAACAACAGAAAATCTATTTTAAAACAACCAAGATGTTATGACTAAAAATGCCAGAGGTATGTATCCAGTTTATGAGACAAATTGCTTTCTAAAGAGTAGCTAGCTTTATCTTGTGTGGAAGAAGGCAACATTTCTAGAAATGTTAGAGCTGCAGTAAGAAAATAACCAACTACTTTCATTAAAAAGAGTATGTGACAAGATTTGTATCTGTTCATGTAATTGAGTTTAATGCTGTTGAAATCTGTCAGACCTGAAAGCTATTGAAGACCACATTTATTTTTCCCAACACTTAGGAAAATCATCTAAACAACTGTCTCCCTGCTTGTCAGGAGTGGGCCTTCTGATGAACCTGAAGAGTCAGGATAGCATCATTTGAGGGCCCCACACAGTGCTGTGCACCAAGCAACATCTGCAAAGGTCATTTAATTTTGTGTGCAGGTGACACTGGGGGGAAGTTGAAGCACAGATACTGGCCATGCATCTGTCTACCGGTTCACCATTTCCCACTTAATGCCTCCTGTTTAGACGCCAATAACCTTAAGATGCAATGCAGAACTGTATTTCCTTTATAGTCTCTGCTTCATCCCGAGACCTCTTTCCCTCATTTGAACAATAAACTCAGATTTTCTGCAGAAGTCCCACTGAATAATCAAGGAACGATTAATATGCTGGCCTTCTCAGTCTCTCACCTTGGTTCACCTTGGTTGATTGACATATAAATCTCCCAAGAATTTTCCTCTGGGATGGCGCCATGAGGTATGAGTAGACTCACCCCTAAGACAAAAAGAAGAAGAAAAAAAAAAAAGGCCAAGAGGTCATACAAAAATAGCCCAATTAATTTGAAGCATGCTATTTGGGCACCTTATTGATGCGCACACAAAAGAGTTTCTCTTACTGATTTATGATTTATAAATAACAAACCTTGAAGACCTCTAAAAAACATGAGAAAACCCTTACTCTATATCAGTGACCAAAAGAGAGCACATTCAATGTTCATTTTTATCTGAAATCTTGCCAGCATAATTCAGTTCCCTTAAAAGACTGGCTATCCCAAGACCAGAAACTACCAACTATACCTGACAACATAAGAATTTATCAGCCCTTCAACTAACTTTCTCCCAAATTAAAAATAAAATGTGGTTATATGTCTTGTTCTCATCTCCAGAGAGGGTGTCTGGGATGATGGGTAGTTAACATTTTCCTTGAACCTGGAATGAGATCATCTTACAAGCAACATCTGCAAGGAAATTGAGGAATGGGCTATGTGAATTATCGCATCTTTTTCAAAGGAATTAGGAAAAATACCAAGAGTCTGAGAAGTTTTAGGATAATCTGTGTCATTGTGCAATTAATGTGACTTTAAATCTGCAAACAGCAGTCGGGAAGTGTCAAAGGAGAGACAGTGACTTAACCACGCGCATGTCATGTCATTGTGAAGCTACACTACCGCATGTGAAATGTCCCGTTTCCTATTTATGACTATGAAGAAAATCCTTTACTTTGGACAAAGAGAGACATCTGGGAAAAACTTGGATTCTCTTGAGTGTGACTTTCTCTTTACAAAAAGAAAGGAACTAGAGAAACAGTAAGAGCGCCACACAAAATAAAAATCTCTGGGCATCCTATGCTGTGAGCAATGCTGCTTTCACTCTTATTCCTTTCGCTAGCCATAATGGCAGAGAAAGCTTACAGGTTGCTGTTGACAAGCTTTTCCTGTTCTTCTCTGTGTGTGTGCAGCAGCTACAGAGTCAAGGAGTGCGAGACTTACTGTGAATCCAGTCATTTGTGATTCATATTTACATCATTATTCAGTAACACGCTAGTGACTGAAAATATCCTTCACTAGAAGTAAGGACGGGGCACGTTGAAATCCTGCGCACAGCTTTTCAGTAAGAAGATGCATTTCTACTCTGCACCTTTACCATCAATAGTGGGATAACTGTAATTGACATGCTGGAGACCTCCAATCAGATGTTCCTTCCATTTGCTGTTCTTCCTTAATTGCAGCTACTGAATGGCATGGTCTCCATTGTAGGTATCTTTTCCTGGTATTGAAGACAGACTGTAACTTGGGATATTCTGGATGTTCATATGTCACCTAGAACCTATGTCCTAGTCATTCAACCTTCTCTTAGTTTGGCCTTTGTCTCTCTATTGCCTCTTCTTCCCGATCTCTATCCTGTGATTACACAGAAATATGAAGATTTCTCTGTAGAAGCCCAGCGGACTAGCAGACAACCGTGTCACGTTACATTAACAACACTTAGCACATTCCCTGACATGGAAAAAACACATCACCAGTATGAAAATGTATGCAAAGGATTCAAACTTCTTAGCATAAAACCAGGCTCTGAGTTATGCTGTCTTGTGTTGACCGTCGTTGCCTGGGGCTGTTTGTGGATCCTCTCATATCTCATTTCTTTCAAGTAAGCTTCCCTCCCTTTGTTTAGATTGAAGCCTTATTCAGGTTCTTCCTAAATTCAGCCTGTATCAAGAAGCTCGTTCATTGGCTCTTTTATTTTTTTTTATTCTGATTCAATCATAATTTATGTTAGCCTTCAAACATGGAGGTTGAAGACAGCTCATCACAGGAACAAGGATGGTAGGGCAGGGGACATTAGAGCCTTGGTGGCACATTGCAGAGTATGAAAAAGAAAACACAGTGGGAATGCTTTATGCCTATGGTCCCTTCAAGAAGTCTCCATTTGCAACAGGCCATTCACCAATTCCCTTTGATTTAAAAAAAATTGCAGCTCCCCAATGCTACCAGCTACTCTGACAGGTCTTTTCTTTTTTTTTTTCTTTTTAAATTTGGTATAACAACAGAACCACCTGTCTGAGTTTCTTCTTTCATATTTTGCATAATAAATGATCTCCAGAGTGCACTGCCTGGCGATTTGGGATAGATGGCATCAGAGCAATCTAATTTCTTTGCCATGTTTCTGTGCTCTCCAGTTCCCCAGGGCATAGTTTGCATTTATGCCCCGCAAATAACAAGGAGCATGTTTCAATTCCCTACACTTCTTTTTCCTAAACCTCATTTGCACTGTACAGCTGCAATCTCGTCCGGTGGTTCTTGTCAGTAGACTTGAAAACTTCCCGCTCATGGTTATGACTGACAAGCGAACTGAGTTTTATTTTATAGAATATGAATGTTCCTCAAAGGGAGACAAGGGAAAAGAAACATCTTTTGTTTCTCCTAATTTTCATTTCTGTGTTTCTTTAAGGAAAATTAAGCAAATATGGGCAATGAATGATTTGGTCTTGGCACTCACTCAATATTTCAGAAATAAAGTATATTTTGGAACAGTGTATGAGAGGACACACGTAATCTGGGGGAGGGCAAAGCAACATCTGTCAAGTTAAGAGAAGTTCAGTTTCAACTCACAAAATCACCAGACAGGCTCTCATACCGTGAGACTGGCCCTGCCCCAGAATTCATTTTATGGAATAAAATGGTGGCCATTTCCACTCTTTAAAACCTTGGCTTTATATTTAATTTCTGTGTTAGAACATGGCCAGATTAAACGGTCCTGTCCCTCTCAGCCATCATTGTCCACCTGGGGCTCATCACACTGTTAGTTCTCATGGCATAGAACTCAGAAGAGAAACCAGTTGCTTTTTTGCTTTACTTGGGTCTCAGGTAGCAACTCTGAAGATCGATCTATATCTAGGATGCCATTTTGAAAGTGATCTATGCCAGGGTTCTAAAATATCCAGTACAAATATCCAGAAAATCTCCTCCCTTAATACTCAAAGAAGGGAAATGCATATTTAGAAATTTGTTGTGCTGATGACATCAGCCTACAACTGATGGTTGAGTTTCAAAGAATGGTAATGCAAAGATTCATCATCATTGTTTGCCAAGAACCAGTGAAATAATAATTTAAAAAAACTAATGTGGTTATCAAAGGTCGGAGATGGCTCATAGGCCAGAAAATGAGTCATGTGACTGTTCTTGCACTAAATTGTCAGTTTATGTACACACTCACACACACACACATAATGAATAGGCATGACACTTGTAGATTGTAACAAAGGATTGTGTTTGCTTCCTCCTTATCATCCTTTAGGTATCATACTCCAAAGGGTCTCAGACCTGGCAGCCCACCCATACTGCCTGAAAAAAGATGGCTATCACCAGCATCACACATGTTGTTCTATCCCCGCAGGCACAGAGAAGGCTCCGCCTATTTCAGGAGCACTTTTGAGCTGTGTGTATGCCAAATGTAGCTACAACCTTTGACGCTTTCCCACAATGAATCAGAGGGATCTTACTGCATACTTATAAAAAACAAGTCTTTACACAAACAAGGAAAAGGTACAAACACACACTTACCACCCACCTGTATTTGGCATCACTAAGCGCCCCCCTAAATGGCCAAAGACACCAGTTGTTCTCAGCTCCGTCCTTGTGGGCAGTGACGACAGATTTTGGATGTATGGTGTTTTGTTTCTGGGATGTATTGTAGTAAAGCCGCGGTTGTTTCCGTGGGGAAAAGTCCCGGAATGATTCTTGCCATGGTACTCGGCCCTCTCTGACACTCCTAGGGAAACCATGAATGAGCTCTGGACTTTAACCTTGATGTCAGAGAGAGGGTTGAAGAGTGAGGACTCCGTCATGAGCTCCTTATCCAGTGGATCCTGTAGACAGATGGGCCCACTGTATGTCCGGCTCACCGTGAGGTCTGGCTGCATAGCCGGATTCAGGAGTAGAGAGTTTCCTGGTAAGACAAGATCGATCTGTCACTCAGACACTAAAGAGACACCCCCGTTCCTCTTTTGCTGTTACTTCTATTAACGGAGAATATGCATGGGTGTCGGGTGCACTGATTGGCAGCAGCTGGCTCTACTCACCCAGATGGAGTCACACACCAGTGTCTGGGAAATGAATGGGGACCTCTGGCCTTCCAGGTTTTTTTTTTTTTTTTTTTTTTTTGAGTGCCATGGGCCCCACCCCTTCATACCCAGGACTCTTTGCATGCCTTCTTTTCAAGATAAGGAATTCGGACACTAGATTGAGCGGCTGTATCAGGTAGTGTTTGTGTGATTATTTTAACTGGCAAAGAAAAGGTATAAAAAAAAAGAAGAAGAAATGAGAAAGATGTTTTGCAATCCAGTTTGAAGCAAAATAACATCTGTTCCTTTTAAATAGCAAGAGATGGCACAGTTTGGTGACTCTTAGTGTTGCTTCGATGAGCCCATAGAGGCTGTGGGAAATCCCTTGTGGGATTCTGAGTGGTTCCTGGAGCTGGGTCGGGGAGGTGCGTCCATTACCAATCACGGTCTGAGGAGCCAATGTCCTTGAACATCACACACCTTACTCTGGCAGGGAATTAATGCTCCAGTGGAGATTGGCTTGGCTTGTATGTGGGAGGCATGTCAGAAAGGTAGCCTTTCTGGCTTAAAACAAATGAACAAAACAATCTTCATAAAAACAGAAGAAATTGGACTGGGGTTTTAATCATCTGTTGGGTTCACCATTTTTTTTTTCTCCCAAGCCAAATGTTAATCGAAGCCTGTGATATTTTCTCGTGATGAAGTAATCTCATTTGTTAGTAAATAACCGAACATCCTTCCCTCCCGAGCCTCCCACCCACATCAGTTCATCAATACGACAGCTCAAATTGAAACCCAAATCATATTAAAAAATTTCCCTTTGGGACCTGACCAAAAAAATTGTTTCAAATATGATATTTTTGAAAATGTTTCAGTTCTAGACAGTACTACATTAGTCTCTATTGTTTTTCTATTTTCCTAATTTGTACAAGCACCAAGAGAGGCTCTATCACCTTGACTTTTTGCACAGTGCGTCGGGATGCGCTAAGAACCAAGAATCACAGAGAAAATAAGACGTGAGAATGCAGTGCTAATGGCCCTTTGATGATGCCCTTTCTCCATCTTTGGGCTGCTGTGTTGAGATGCAGCCACCATCATGCAGTCCTTTTTAACAGAACCACACTGAGTTCAACAGATGATAACCTTGCTCTTGTCTTTGGTCTTCCCAAGAAAAAGAGGGACTGAAGAATGTAACACATTTGAAAACAGTATGAAACAGCAGTTTCCATGGAGACTTCAAAATCTCATAGCCCCAAACCTCCTGGCTATTTGATCACAAACTCCCACCTTTCGAGGCTTAATTTTTGATTATTTGACTACTCTTAAAAGACTCGCCTAGCACATGGGGGAATTATTTCTGAAATGTAGACAGCACAGACCAGGAACGTAGCTGGGTATAGATGTATGTACGAGGCTAGGGGCCACAGTGGTAGAAAACTTGCCTTGCATATTTGAAGTCCTGGGTCCCATCACCAGAAACACATAGACACAGACACAGACACAGACACAGACACAGACATACAGAGAGAGAGAGAGAGAGAGAGAGAGAGAGAGAGAGAGAGGGAGAGAGAACTAGACAGAGAGAATGAGAGAACACAGACAAACAAAACACACACTCACATGCACAAATCTATAATAGAAAATGTTGACTGCCAACTTAATTTAAGCCTGATTAGGGCCAGTTACCTGCTCCCCACACCAACACACACATACACACATACACACACACTTCTGCTTACCCCTATCTTCTCTTTAGAAACCTATTTTCTTCTTTTAATATAAGCATGCTATTCTGTCTGGCTCCTTTCTATCTTCTTATCTGCCTACTTATTTTGCAGTGCTAGGCATTGAACCCAGGGGTCTACACCTCCTGAGGCTGTATTCGTCCACACCATAGCAGATTATACTTGTAAAGGTTAGTTTTAATTTCACTGGCAACTTGACACACATAGAATCGCCTGAAAAAAGAGTCTCAATGAAGGACTATCAAGATCAGATTGACCCGTGGGAATGTCTGTGGGGAACTGTCTGGATTGTGTTAACTAATGTGGGAATAACATGTTCACTGTGGCAGCATCATTCCTTGGGTTTGGGTCTTGAACCCTGTAAGAGTGGAGAGAGTGGGCTGAGCACTAGTAAGAATATAAGCGTTCATTTCTCTCTGCAATAAACTGTGGACATGACTAGCTGCTTCCGATTCTAACCTTGACTTCCCAGCAATGATGGAACTGTCATCTGCAATTGCCAGCTGAATAAACCCTCTTTCCCTTGAGTTTCTTTTCTTTGAGGTATTTCATTACAGTTTCATTGCAGAAATGAGACTGGGATGCCATTCTGCCTAACATTCTTGGTGTTTCCCTGCCTGGGGTACTAGTCATGTTCATGAAGATACCATCTTCAGGACAGTGGAGGTTAAAGTCACAGTCTATAAACATGAAGTTCATTGTCAATGGATATAGGGAGAGTAACAGTTATAGAAAGATATTTTATCTTCTATCATGATATTTATGAAATTCTTAGACAAAAAATTAACAGGGTGGTCAGATGCTCTGATGAAGTGATTCTTTTAGAGATTCACAATATAACAACATTCTGACACACTTCTCTAGGAGGAGAGGTGTCCAACTTTGTAAATCACCGTTCCCTAAGCATGTTTAGGAAAGGCTACTGCCAACCTCCTGTATCTGTTACTTGCTGTTCCACAGAACATGTTGATATCCCCTGATCGGAGGACATGTGACCATCTAGCGCTATATTCAGAATATGAGCTCTTCCCAAATGCCAAGGGCTTCCCCGTGTTATTCTAGGCAAACTCGATTTCACAAGAACACTGTGAGGAGGATGTTAGCATTCTCATTTTATAGCTGTGAAGCGGTGACTCAGAATAACTGCTTTGCCTCATAGCTGTTTTGTACGATAATACAACTGGCTTTAAAACATGGGGACTTGGACACAATACTGGCTCACCAATAGCAGCTTAACACAGAGGTGCCCAGAAATAAAAGCCAAGGGGAGAAGCCCATCTCTCCTAGTCATGTCTTAATTGCTGTGGTATCAGGTTTGGGTTTGTACTTCAGTAGCCTGTGTGCCCAACAGACAGTGGGCACAGAAAGTCTTCAACATCTAGGAGAGGTAATACCTATACTATGAAGAGAAATAAAAGCCATGGCATGGGTAATGAGGCTCAACGTAGAAAACTCCATTCTTTGAAGAAAAACAGTTTCTCTTTGCCTTAAATTAAAACCAAATATGTCCTATCCCCACCTTGAATTCAGGAACAGGTTTGGCTCATACTAGAGCATTAAATGACTCTCTCTCTTTTGAGAAAGAGCATGGCTGTGAGTTGACATGAAAAATGTTTCTTTCCCTACAACAAAAAATTGGTTGGACTTGGCAGTAGCTGAAAGTCCTTTAGCCTGGAATTTCATTTTGTCGTTGTCTAACTGACCCCTCAGATATCTTTTAAATCCTTTTTACTTATTCGAAATGAGTAAATTATAAAATCTATATAATAAAGGTGTTTGGGAAGTTGTGATCTACAGCTGTTTCCTCAGCCTTTAGTGCTGACTATTTTAGTTAATGAAATTAAACATATAAAGTGTTTCTTAAACATATAAAGTATTTCAGGTTTCTTTAAAGATAAAAGTTGGATAATTTGAGAACAGTAACTCATTAAGCATTCTAAATATAAAAGGTTGAACTACTTCACTAGAATGTTGCCAATAATAAATTGAGATCCATGCATCCTAACAGTTGCTGAGGACCAAGAAAATTATTTTATCAAATTTGGTGTTGTCATGAATGGAAACACCTTGGTAGCGGCTCTCAGGACCAAGAGCTACCTTCACACAGGGTCAACAACATGGGGACCCCTGTGTGAGTGAGGCCCATGGTCCTGAGGATAAGGTGTTGGGGGACCTATGCCGCTGACCTTGACGAACTGTTTTGAAGTTGAAGGTCTGGAAGCCACCTGTCAATGCAGAAGAGTCAATGACATCCACGCCGTAGTCACTGTGACTCCGTCTGTAGAGGGTGACACCAATGACCAGGACTGCCACGGCCACGACAGCTGCGCCCAAGCCCGAGTACAAGGCAATGTCGCTGGCATTTTCAATGCCTGAAAGACACAAGAGAAGTCCTAAGTGGCTAACATGGGCTAAGGCCATAGAACCACCCCAGGACAGAACATGGTATGCTCTTGGAGTCTGGAGCCTACTGCTCAGATCACATAGGAAGCTAGCTTCAAGTTAGACTCTTATTCACATACTAGTCATGTTTCCAAAGCTCCTTGTATAAATCCGAGCAGGGCTAGTCAAAATATCTTAACTGTGTGAAGGTAGCTTACCATGTAATGGACTTGGAGAGAATCAATTTTGCAAAGAATATAACACTTTTTTCTAGTAAGAACAAACAACTCCTTAACTTATTTAAGGAAGTCATAGTTACCTGAAAAGTGTTCTTATATTTTTATTTTTATTTGAGGGAAAACAGACTCACACAAATGACAAAAAAAGAGGGGCTTCTCTGCTCATTGGGGGCTTGGGGCACATGCATTAGCATAAAGCTGTTTAGGGTAGGGTGCTAACATGGTATGAGAGTTAGAAGAGATTAGAGTTTATGAGCATGTCAACTTTGATATAAATACTCAGTCAGAGTACAGCAATAACCTTGGTTTTGCATATGTAATCATCACGAGAGCAGTTTTTATGTGAGACAGGAATAGTTTGATTGTTGAGGGCTCTTATGTCCACGGTAAATTTTTTTTTTTTTTTTTTTTTTTTTTTTTTTTTTTTTTTTTTTTACCATGGGCTCTTGTGTCTATGGGAACTGTTTTCTGGTACCAAGCCACTGTTAGACTCTGACACTTTGTTAGGGGTCACATGCTGATTCTCCCATACCTCGCCTACTCCATCCTATTGAATGCATGGGCAAAGCAAAAATAAAAACGTTAGTTTAATTTTAGGATGTGGATGTCTCCCCAACCCCCAGGAGAAGCTACAGCTGAATTCTTTTCCAGACACATATTGGGTGTGGCTCATCCCAGAAGCAGGTTGATAATGGCTATTATAACTCAACATAGAAGAATTATCTAAAACAAGGCAATCCTAAAAGGCAACATCCCAGAGTGTATGGAAATGGAAGGTGGCAAGAAATAACTACATAATCAAGTTCCCAACAGATTATGTAGCAAGTACACGTAATGGGTCCGAAATAATTATTCTGCCATCCAGGGTTGGGCTGAGGGGATAAAAGAAACACATCATATATTTACCTTGTAATTGCATCACACTTACTATGCATTCCTCGCACCCTAAAATGGTACTTATCAAATGGGTAATGCTAGTCACACAAGTATAAAGTGAATTTATTTTCAACGAAGTTAGTGGGCCATAAAATAAGGTGTTACCAAATTAAAGAGTGAACGTGGAGACCAAGCGGAACCAAATCAGCGGTAGTGCAGGAAACACATGAAAATATCGGGCAAAGAGGAGCACAGCCGTCAGAAGGAGTCAGGCCTGAAAGGTCAGGAGTTCCACAGACACGTTTAATAAGCAAAGCATTGTGAAGCTGTGCCATGCAACAGGGTAAGACGCAGAGCTTCATTCTAATTCCAGGATGGGGGCAGGCAGACACCCTGCCATCATTCCCCAGAACTGCGGACACCAGGAACCACACCTCCACTGCAGAATTTCCATGCTATGCCTGCGTTTCTTTTGGAGGAACAAGGAGGCATCCACCAACCCGGTCATGCCCCCATCCCCGTGTTTCCTTGGAGGGAAGAAAGACACTCAGGGCAGAGAGCACACTGATCACAGGAGACGCATCACACCAGGACACAGGGCACAGTGAGCGGACTTGGAGTTGAGACCAGTTAGCTCTTTTCCTTCCTTGCATAATGCTGAGTGGTGAGAAAACCATTGAAAAGATACTTCTGGGGAGCACACACCTTCTTAACAAAGGAGCACATGCAGGGGAGCAGCCTGGCTGTGTACTGACTGCAGCTGCTTTGCTGCTGAGCTTGTAAAGTCGAGATAAAGGCATTCTTAGAGTTCCAGGCACTGAAACGGGAAGACTGGAGCCAGGAGCCAGGGAGACTACCAAGGTAAAATTCAAGAGCTCAAAATGGAAATCACTGGATGTGAGCCTGGTCAGACAAAAGAGGGAGACAAGGGAAAGCTGCCTTTCCCTTCCAGATTCCCATTTCGGTCTTTGATACATAAGGGGGCCGAATTATCACCATCATTCCAATCCTTCCCTTTAGACTAAGGGCATGTATTCTTTATCATGTTTCCTTTCCCAGGAAAATTTCTGAATCATCTGACTTAGGTTACAAGAACAAAATATTACATTAAAAATATTTCACGTGAGTAAAGGGAGCAGAGAGATGGCTCAATGCTTATGAACACTCTTGCAGAGAACCTGAGAGTTTGGTTCTCAGTACCATATAAAGCAGCTGAGAAATCCAGTTCCAGGTCATCTAATCCCGTTTTCTGTCCTGTGTGTATCTGCACACATGAGCGCAAACCAATGCAAAGGCACACATGTAAGCATAATTAAAAATAAAAGTAAATTCTTTAAAATACTGACTAGGAGTCAGGTGGTGGTGGCACATGCCTTCAATCCCAGCACTTGAGAGGCAGAGTCAGGCAGATATCTGAGTTCGAGGCCAGCCTAGTCTACAAGAGCTAGTTCTAGGACAGGCTCCAAAGCTACAATGAAACCTTGTATCAAAAAAACAAAAACAAAAACAAACAAACAAACAAAAACACTGAGCTAGACTCGTAGGTGAGCATTGGCCCTGGTGGAGTTTATATCCCTGACACCTGGGAAAGCTATTAGCCACCAGGGAGGGATTACTACAGAAAGAAGAACAAAGTGGTACTGATTTCACAAGAATAATCTGGAAGTCACCAAATTCAGTATGCAATAATTCCATCAGTTCAAAAAAAAAAAAAAAAGATGAGAGCCAACTTTGTCGTGTGTTTGCACAGAGTTTACACACAGCCCACATTCTCAGTCAGTTATTGTCCATAAGCCAGATGGTTATAGATTCCTGGTATTTCAGCTTCAGCCTGGATGGCATATACAAATACTCCAGGCCCCGTTTTATATCTCAAGAGTTTTAACCAGGTATCCTTAACCACAGCCCAAGTTCTTGTAAATGTGAACTTCCATACTTCTTTCTCCTGTCGTCTTCTCTCTTTTATCTGCCTGCTTGTGCTGTGCACTATTCCTTCCCCTTTGCCAACTTCTTTCTAAGATTTCAAGAGCATAGAGTGGATAGAGTGGTTTTCCCTATAGATTCTGGGTAGCTAATAGAGTTTTTTTTTTTTTTTTTTTTTTTTTTTTTTTTTCAGGACAAAAGAGCTCCATGTTTTCTCTACTAGCTTCCTAGTAGATAGAGAAAGTTATGTGCATGTGTATGTGTGCATGTGTGAGTGTGTTACAGCTACACTCCCACACTGGCATGCAGAATCATCACATGCAAGTCTATTCAGTCACGTGGATACGCATGCAGAGGGCACTGACTTGGCTAAGGGGACGTGGCTATTCCTTTGAGGGGAGCTGCGGGGACACATGACTGCATAGCATATAACATATCACAGTGACTTCCCAGGACATGTAGCTGCTTCCACATCCACTCCCGTGTCCTCCTGACCCATCACTGCACTGCTCTTCCACATTCAACTGCACTCGAATGACCTGTCAGGTGGGTACTGCTAATAAAAGACCCTGCATCCTGGTCAGTGTAATATACATGCCTCCAGCAGGATCTGCCCATCTTTATCTACCTACTTGCCAAGTGCCAGCCCAAGTGGTCCCCTGTCTGGCATGACTCTGTCCTAGGTGGTGTAATCAACTGTGCTTGACTGTGAGTGTTAGAACTTACAGGGCTTAGGGGTCCTAAAATGCACTTTGGACTGTACGTTTTACTCATGGCTATCTGGATGACAGTTAGGTTGCTCTTCTCAAATGCTTTCAACTCCTCACAAGCAGTACTCTCTCTCTCTCTGATTTCCCAGAGAACCTTGCTAATCCTTGTGCACAACTGTTTATTGCTTGCTTGCCTGGTCTCCAACTGAAGGAGCACACTACTGAGGAAACCAGAGTCTGGGGGTGATTTTTAGAATCTGTCCTTAAAGAATTCCTTTTCTGCTGGGCTGCTCAGCACTTGGGACGCAGAGACAGGTGGATCTCTGTGAGTTTGAGGTCAGACTGGTCTACAGAGCTAGTTCCAGAACAGCCATGCCTGCTATACAAGAAACCCTGTCTCGAATAAATAAGCAAACAAACAAACAAAACAAAAGAATTTCCTTTCCATTTCTATTTGTACACGTGCATTTATAACTATCATTCTTCTCACAGACACAGAATTGTCACAGGCACACACAAGAAATTGCTGATTTGTTGGTTCAAGAAAGCATTGGTTGAGCAGGGATACTCTGCCTTTGTGGGCACAGGGTGCCGGGCCTTTCAATTTCATAAATGAGGCTTTGCATTCCATTGTCTTACTGTTGTTTTTCCTTTCCTCTTATCCCTACTTTTCTTTTACTAAAAGTCACAAAAGCTTTAGGCAGAGCATGGAAGGCCACGAAAGCTTTGGGCAGAGCATGAAAGGCTTCAGCATATCTGAGAGGAAAAAAAAAAAAAAGTTAAGTATAACCTACATCTATAGGCAACTCAAAAAACAACCAAAATACCTGATTGAGAAACCTATTATTTCCAAGTTGCAAAGCATGAAGGGATCATGAATGAAGAAGAGAAACAGAGGGTGGGAAATTGGGCCTTGAAAAGGAAAAAGAAGAAAAAAAGAAAGAAGAAGCATTTGCTTCCTGGAGATGGGATGCATAGGGGGCTGTTCCAAGAAGAGACTAGGCCCACAGTAGGCACTCACTGGCCATCTGTTTAGAGGAAACTAGTAAAGTCTCTTGCCATCGCTACCAGAAATAGAAAGGGAGGATATGGCCTTTTATTAAAGCAATCGGGTGTCTGGTTTGATATTAAAATGACCTTTCCTACAATGAGGGTTGTTTAAAACATCTATATTTCTAAGGTAGATTGTGAAATCGCCTTTCAGAAGAGTCTCTAAAAAAATCAGCAGGACTCTGTAACAGTCTGCAATTCCTTTATCTTATTTTTTTTATTATTACTATTTATCAGAGTTGGCTGGGGGAATAATTGACCTTTCAAGGCCCCTTCTTAGAAATAAATTTGAGTGACAGCCCTCTCTAGTCATCTGTGGTGACCGATGGCCTGATGACTCAAGCCAGGGCTGTTTAGTTTATCTGTCTCATGTTTCCCAGCCTCTAAGGTAAAAGACATATTAATTTTTCTTGCTAATGGAACATTAACTCAATTCACATGTTACAAATTGAACATACATCACGTTTAACATATAGCAGACAGGAACCTATCGTCAGGCCTCGAGCTACAAAGGCCTGGTATAGGAAGATGGGAGTACCTTTCTACTATATCCACACTATTCTGCCTGATCTCCCGGTGGGTGTCCTGGAGCAACCACTCCTGCCATTGTAGAAAACCAGGCCAACAAACTCGAAATGCTAATGTAAGCAGCAGTGAACTGCTAAGGAATCCACATTAAGAAAATCTCCAGAAAGGGAAGCCAGGAAGAAGCAAAACCAATGGAAGCCACAAGAGTCAACTACTGAGCCAGAATCCCAACAGCAAGGCAACCTAGAGTCAATCCAGGAAGCAGCTTCCCCGCAGCCAGTGCAGGTGGCACACAGGGCTACTAGACTATTTCAGAAGTTTTTCCTTTTAGTATGTATGCTAGATATATTGAATAAAAATATAGAACTCGCTGGGAGTAATGGTGTACGTCCTTAATCCTAGCACCCAGGAGGGTGAAGCAGATGGATCTCTGTGAGTTCAAGGACAGTTTACCCTACAT